CTGTATTCACACCCTAGGGTCATGCGTCTGTGTTTAGGCCATGGTTTATACAGTATGCTTCCCAGACATAGGTAGTTGCTGGAATTTAACTATAGGAACTACAACATTATCTATTTATTATCCACATAACCCCATATTTTACCCTCAAATTTTACCTTTGAAGTTATAGGAAAAAACACTTCCCCTCTATTATATGTTGCATTGTGTATGATCTTTTTTGAAATAATATCATTAACATTGGGTGAAATGGTCAAACCCAATACTCGGCTTTTTAAGGCATAAAATTAAACCAGCCAGCCTGACTTGAACTCATGTTCATCTTAAAATTCCAGAAGTGGAATTAACTACATAGTAAAGTACTACTTAAATATAGTTTTGAGGTATGTGTAATTTGATTGAGTAACTTCATCTTTTACTACTTCATACTTCAACTTGACTCCATTTCACTGGCAAACATTGTACTTTTTACTCCACTAGCCCATATACTGTTAGTTCTTATAAAAACATTTGAGGTGTACATATGCACAAACATACATCTGCATTGGGATTCTTGTGTTAAGGTTGTGTCCCCCTCACCAGGAGGATGAGGGAGAACTGAGGTAGGACTCAATGTGCAAGACCCAGGTGCTAGTGAAAAAAAGGTGGTTTATTGGTAAAAACACAAACAAGGTAACAGAGTCAATGTATGTGGCATAATCAAGCTGGACAGTACAAAAACAGGGTAGGCTGAGGAGACCAGGACGAACAGGTGAGTGGACAAACTAATGGCAGAAACCAGGAGAATAGGAGGATCTAGGACGGACAGGTGAGTAGCCCGAACAAACAGGAGGATTAGCAAACGCCATCAGGGAAGCAGAGTAGCGGATGAAAAAAGAAATCAACAGCACAGGAATTGTCAGCATTGAAATCAAATTACGCATGCTTAAACACATGGAAACAACGTACGAAAGAAAACCACAACACAGGAACTGTCAGCATGGAAATCAAGAGACATATAATACAAAAAAAACACGTAACCAACATACAAAAAGAGATCCACAGCACAGGAACTGTCAGCATGGAAGTCAAAAAGAAGTCTGACACATACCATGAATACAGGTATATCTAAAGGTATTTCCGTATTTAGGTAATGCTCCGGCGATGACGGAGGGTCTGCCAGAGGTTTAAATAAGGAGGAAGGTATTACAGTAATGCGCCCCAGCTGTGCGCGACAACCCACAAGTCACTAATTACAGAAAGTGACACAACTGATGCGCCGATCCTGTAAAAAGAGCGAGCAGGAGAGAAAAAAGGCAGAAGAGAGGCAGTTCGCGCTGAGCGGACCTGACAGTACTCCCCCCTCCAAATGCGGGATCCCAGACAGCCAAATGAAAACCCCACAAAAAAAGAAGCAGGGCGGGAGGCGGGGGGCCCAGAAGGTGGGCAATGGGCCCAAACAAAAAACAACCCCTGCAGTCACACAAAAACAAAGACAAAAAGCCCCAAAAGCAGTGTACAAAGTTCATAAATGACTAAAGTCTCAAAACGGAGTACCCAGTCTAAAAGAAAAGGCAGGGACACCCATGTGTACCAGGCAGGGGCGAAGAAGGGCTGTTCATGAGGGCGAATTAGTCGTCAAGCTAGGGGGTGAAGAAGGACAGTTCTGGAGGATGACCTCTGGCTGAGACGAGGGCTGCTGCAGCTGGGGGTCTGGCTGAGATGAAGGGTGCGGCAGCTGGAGATCTGGCTGAGAGGAAGGGTGCAGCAGCTGGAAATCTGGCTGAGACGAAGGATGCAGCAGCTGGAGGTCTGGCTGGGGAGCACGTGGAGGCTG